GTGATAACGTGACCTCCCTGCAGTCTGAGTGGGGAATGGAATCCATTGGGGTTTTTTTGCTTAAATGGGTTTATTTTCCTGAAACTGATTCCTAGAGCACAGCCAGTGCTGTAGTGTTTGTTTTCTGATATGCTTATGATCTGGGCCTATATCATAGAAATCTTTTAAGGTGCTCTCCAAATCTTTTCCTTTATGCTGACTGTCGTGTGTTGTGTGTTTTGATAAATCACTTTCAGGCTTTTGTTTCCCTTAGTATTTCAACAGGTGTGTGACATACCAAGTAAATCACACTGAGGTGTTACTTCAGTGGGGTTATTACCTAGAATAAGGATGAAACCATTGCTTTTACTAATGCTGAACAAGGAACTATATTGATCTCTCACACTAAAAGTGGGAGGGACAGGATTTTTGACTGCTTCCAAGGTGCAGATTTTAGGAAACTGTTAGCATTCATCCTTTGTAGAGCAAGGAGTCCTCAGGGATCCGCTTCTCCTCTGGTGAGACATTGCCATTGTAGATGTTGGAAGCATGGTCTGTATCGCAAGTGGGCCTCAGTGGGTCTATGCTAATCTTAACAGCGCGAGATGAATTGATCCATTGGACTGGGAGATAAGGCGGAAGAGTGGGAGCACGATGGATGTGATCTCAAGCAACCAGTAACTATGCTGTGAGTCTCATGCCACCTCTTTGGGCTGTATCAGCCCTTCTGCTGTATCAGGTCTACGTTACAGGCTTTACATGGCATTTCTGAGTATTAGACATTGTGTTTCTCCATGGCATGCAAGCCCATATCTCCTTCCTAAATATTTGATAACAAGTGAACTCTGCATAAAAATCAGCTCCCAGGCACCATGGTGCTGTGAGGCAAAGGCAATATTACGTGAGGAAGAACAAAAAAGAAAACAACTCACTTCTCAAACGAGAGATGGCTCAGATGAGGAGCGCTGTCAAACATCTCTGTCCTCACAAAACCCAGTGAGTGGGAGTCTCGACAGTTCAGCTCTCGGAGACCAGGCATGGACTTGAAGAAGTCAATATCGAGGCTTCTTAATCGTGACATCTTTGTCAGGTGAAGTGATCTGAGGTTGGGCAAGTCTCTGGTCCACTCTGGCTGAACTGAAGCAGAAAAAAGATTTATACCTGTTGCCTAAATAGAGCATTTCTGTGGATTTCTGCCTGGAAAAAAGTTTTGAATTCATAGAGACATGAAACATCACTATGGTCTTCTGCAGCTGTTCTCTTTGCGAAAGGAATAGAACAAAAATCAATACACCAGTGTATAAACACCCATGCAATCACATATTTGTAATATTACCTCTGGGTTGTGCTGTTGTACGGCAGAGGAAAAGAAAGGAAGATAGAAGGGCAATATAGCTGATAAGAGATATGGAATAGCTTTCCTATTAGGTGAGATTAAATGAACAAGGATTTCTCTGCTCAGAAGTGGTGGGTGGGGGGAGATTAGAGAGGTCTACAAAGTCCTGACTGGTGTGAGAAAGGCAAATAACTTATTATTTCTCCTAGCGCAGGAAAAGAGCCGAGAGGCATGAAACTGAAAGAATAGGTCTTACACAAAAGTGCCTTTCCATCCCACGACTGAATTGTGTAACTCGCTCCCACAAGAGGGATTAGGCAAATTCATGGAGGAAATTTGGTGGTGTATCTGTTAAACGTGAGTTGAGGTGAAACCTCAAGCTAGAGGAGTCCCTAAGGTCCTGGCTCTGCCCCAGGCTGAGAGCAGCTGGGCAAGGCATCTAACATCTGGCCGCCTCAGCACCTCAGGTATAAACTGAGGCTGGCAGGGGAGGCAAGCAAAAGGAAAAAATGGTGCTGTAAATTGCTCAGGGCAGGGATTGTCTCCCTGTGCGGAAGTATTTGGCTAGTTGCGGTTGACACAAAAAGCCTCTCTCTGTGCTACTTCAATACAGTGGTGTAAAGCAGAGTGTAACTGTGGCGATAGACAAAGAAAGATTTCAGCAGTGTGTCTGGAAAGAGAAATGAATTTCCTCCTCTGTGTCCCAGAGCTAATCTCAGGGTTGACAGAGGAATTAGGATAGAGGTGGGGGACTACAGTGGGACAAATAGTCCTGTCTGCCGGTGTCTGTTCCCTGCCCTTCCTTCGGGAGGCTGGTCTGCGTGAGGGTTTCCCCCCAGCAGCTGCATCACAGCTGGAGAGCGCATTGCACGCTTGGACCAGCTGTTCGCAGCTTCCAGCGTGGGGTGTTCCCCCTCCACCCTGGGCTTGGCCGCGATGGGAGCCATCATCCCAGCAAGGCTTCTGCTCCCCCTGGCCTGACCAAGCTCCATGTTTAAAGTGGGAAATCCAGAAACTTACTTTTCTCAAGAAAGGTCCCGCTGAGATCAAGCATGTTGATGGTGTTTCCGGGCCTGTTTGTGGCCTCACTGGGAGATGTGCTCATGGCAAAAGCAGACTCCCTAATTCCTCTGCTGTCATCCTGCCCGAGCAGCGTTGCAGAGAGGTTCAGGAACTGTAGTTGAGGGTAACAGGAAAAAGCCAGCGGTTGGATTTCGATCAGTGGATTTCCAGCCAGGGACAACCACCTCAAGTTAGGCAGGGCAGAGCTGTGGCATGATGGCACAGACGACAGCTTATTAAAGCTTAAGTCCAGGGAGAGGAGACTGCTGAGGGCTTCAGATCCCCATTTAACTGCCTGGAGATGGTTCTGCCTCAGAAAGAGGGTGCGCAGCCGCGGGAGGTTTGCTACCTCCGTGCCATTCACCTCTTCTAAGAGGTTATTGCTGAGATCCAAGGTCTCCAGGGCCTGCGGAAGGCAGACGGGGAAAGCTGTCAGGCTGCTGTTGGTCAGCTGCAGGGTGATCCAGGTCCTGTTCTTCCGTCACAGGACATGCTGGTGAGATTAACGTTCTCCCAAGCGTCTTCCTGAGTCAGCTGGAAAAAGGTGGTGATGTCCCTGGATGCTGCAGGCTCTGCTCTGCTCACCGGGCCCGACGCTGTGTTCCCCGCCAGGAGAGAGAGGATGAGCAAGCCCGAAAACATCTTTCTCCTAAGTGGCTTGCAATTAACTTGGAAGATCTGTTTGTTTTTTGTTTCAGGGAGGGGAAAAGAAAACATCAGCATTAAGAGCTAAATTAAATCCCTCCAGGCATCTGCAAGCTATTTAAAAGTGAAACATTTGTAAGTCCTTTCCTATTGCATCCAGACAGCAGGAAGTGATAATTAATGTCTCCTCTGTAATTAAGCCTAAGTAAACACAAACCCTTGGGGACAGATCATGTGATCTTAGTCTAAGCGTACCTACAGTTTTTCATGCAGAAAGCAACCAAGTTATGTCACGTGTCTGGTTCCCACACCAGCACCCTCAGCACCAGTCTGGCACCCAGGGCAGCAGCAGCGTAGGAGGTGGGCTCCCCGGTCTCTCTGCTCGGCTGCCTCTGTGAAGTACAGGGCTATGAGGGAGTGCCAGTGCTACTCCAGTATAAAAATACCAGTTGGTACTCTACTGAGACAAGCTGCAGGACAGGGATATTTCCATGTCATGGGACTTGACTTTTATACCTGATTGTGTATTCCAGTTTGGCCAGCCCGCTGGGAAGAGTTATCTAATGGGATGATACCCAAGCAACAGGGTGAGGGTCAGGTGTGACTGTGGCAAGGGACTTTTTTCTGTGAGGTTGTGTGTACGAAACAAATGTATGGATCCAAAGGCAGAGGAGGGTTGTCAAACAGTAAAGGACGTAGGAGCCCAGACTGGGCTGAGCTGCAATGGGGTGGGCAGGTAAAAGTGCTTTTCCTATGTTAGGAAGGGCTTTCCTTCCCTTAACAGCAATTGAAACAGCAAAAGCCCAGGGCTCGCATGGGCTCTGCCAGGGCAGTTCTGCCCCGTTCTGAGTGACAGCCAGGCTTGGGACCCCACAGGCACCTTGAGACTCGCCTTCCTCCTCTGCTCCTGACCCGCTGGCAGAGCCCCGGAGCCCATCTGCCAGGCGGTGGCAGGGCTGGGGCCCTGCTGCAGGTGGGTGCCTCAGGCGTGGTGTGGAGGGAGCTGCTGGGGAGAGGAGGTACTGAAGGTGCCACTCCTGAACCACATTTCAGGCAAAGTGGTCAGAAACGGAGAGTGTGCTCCTGGATCAGGGCCCCAAAGGCCTGGGTACGAAGCAGCATGGTATTCTGTGTTACAGTTCCCTCTGAGCTCCCTCCTCGTCCCACCCCAGCTTTATCTTTGTCATTTAAAAGAAAGAAAAAAAAAAAAAAGAAAGAAGAAAAGTCCTAAATGACTTGTCCAAGGCTGCACAGGTAATCTGTGTCAGAGGGAATTAACCACAGCCCAAAACTAGTCCTTTTCTTACTGAGCTGTTTTTTGCACTGCCAGGCATCATAATGATCATTCTTCATCCAAAAATATATTAGTGTCGGGGGGTGACTGAAGCCCCATGTAGTATGAAATATCTCAGGCTTATTCCAAACCTTTATAGCTACTTGCTGTTCCCTGAATCGTGCCAGGTCTTGCCCAGACCATCGTTTGTTGCTGCCATCCCAGGTTTGAAGTAGGGACCAGCAAAATAGTATAATTTCGTTGCCTGTGTCCTTTTTGTCATCTGGAAGTGGGCAAGAGCTGAGCAGCCTCAGGGCTTCCTGGTCACCAGAGCTGCTGGATTGCCAGCACACGGCAGGGAGAGAATGGGAGGAATGGGGCTGCTGGATCCCGATCTTAGATTTAATCTTAGTCCCTGGCTCTAAACCGCATCCGCTTGCACATACCTGTCCAGAAGTCCTGATGCCTCGTGTCTCTGCTCTGCGTGGCTCCGATTGCCCGGCCTTGATTTTATACACTTCGGTGACTCAGCCGAGAGCGTGAAATGCCTCTTTTCTAAAGTTCCCAGCTTTCCCTGCTCGCGGCTCTGCCCACAAAAGCAGGCGAGGTTTGTTCCAGGCTGGCTCCCCCGCATCCAGCTTTCCCCTGCCTGGAGAGTGGGTGGCTCCAGGCAGCTTTCCCTGCTCCCTTGGCCCTAGCAGGAGGTGGGTGGGAGGGCTCTGATTTCCCAACACTCAGGCAGGGCCACTCCGTCTGTCTTTGTCTAAGCAGAGGGGGATAAAGAGAAGAGATCAGTGTCTGTGGTCCCAACTCTCGCATCTTTCACCGACGGGGGGGAAGGGAGAGGAATTATTGTGTTTCGCTGCTGACAGGTCGTGATGATGTAAAGCTAAGGCTCTGTCTGCTGACATGGGCTTTGGTCGCTCTCTAGGTGCCAGTAAAAGGCTTCAAGTGTTTTTATTTCTCTCTAAGACTTTTGCACTTGTGAGTAAGTCCTGGAAATGTTTACACAGGACAAATGGATTTTCTAAGGAGGACCTTGCGAAATGTCAAAAGCGAAGTTCTCACCTGTCGCTCCTGCAGAGAGGAATTCTCTCGGTCGATGGAGAGGGCCTGCGGCATCACGCGCTGCACGTGACTGACTTGGGAGGCCTCTCCCGGTCCCACCGTGCGTGGGTTGTGTTCTCTGTTCTGCATCTGCCGTACCGTGTGGCTTGGAAGAATTCCCATTCAGCTCCTTCTCTCATCCTTTGCTGGATAAGTAAGACTGACAATGTAAAACATCTCTCACCAAGGGACCTGCCCTGAGCTGGGTTTCTCAGCATTCCCACAATTCATATAATAATTAGGCTGGTCAAGGGCTGAGAATAAAGCCAGGAACTGGAAAGGGATGATCTGATAGAGATTGTTCCAAAGTAAAAGCAAAAGGGCGGTTGTTCAGTTGCTACTATAAGGCAATTAATGATTAAAATTTCCAGGGAGAACAGTAGTCAGTGCTTTTCATTTGTCAGGACAACAAAACAGATCCATGACATGAAGGCAATACAGTCCTGTAGGCTTTGGTGCGAAAGTGCAGATAAAGGTCTTGCTTTCCCAAAAACCTTGAGTCTGCATGTACGCAGACCTTATCTATTGACCCTGTCATTCATTATCTGTGTGGGGAGAGAGCCTTGAAAAACACCAGAACATCCACAGAACAAGATACCGTCTTCTAGTAGGACTCTCTGGAGCCATTGCGGTTCCCTTGGAGGCTGGGCGAGATGTACATATTGTTCCTGTGTGGAATGGCTCTAAGGCAAGACAAATAGTTTCCTAAATGAGGGGTTAATCCCCCAGATTAACCCTGGGGGAGCAGCTGGCAGGCCTGCGCTCCGGGCAGCTTGCAGGCCTGGCACGTGCGCGCTAACAGGTACCTTCAGAGATCTGCACTCTCTTAGGTTCAAAGGGCAAATTGGAGCAGGTTAAAAAAATCTGAAGAATTTGGTATAATAGGAGGAGAGTCCAGCCCCTGCCAGGCTGCTGTAAACCCTGCTTTCTCTTTGGCTTTGCAGACCTGCTGGCTGCAAAGCTCTTCTTTGAGAGAAGCCGGGGAGCAGGGAGCTGGCCTCGCTTTGCATTGGGCTATTAAGTACCAGTTTTGTGTTTGCTGCCTTTAGCTCAGTATTTATGGACAGTGAATTTTCATTGGTTGTTGTATTGTTTTTAATCTCTTAGAAAACTACTTCATGAAACCTGGCAAGCCAAATGCTGCCTTACTTTTAATGTATTCAACCATACTGACTTCATTTTGGAGACTGAGATAAGCAGCCTTGGAAGACTGGGAAGTTCGCAAGCGGGCCACACATTTCAGTGAAGGTGGGATGGAGGTGGAGTCTTTGCCCAGAGGCTCTTGATTTCTGAGTGATAGGGAGAACCTCTCCCAGGAAGCAGAGCACTCTTGGAAAATGAGCTTTTGTTATTTTTATTTTCCACCTTTGTTTCTGCTTTTTGGATGCCCAGCTTTTGAGGCAGGCATTGTATTTTCCCAACTCTTTGCCTAGCTGCAAACTCTAATCATCTGTAACGTTACTGCTACGGTACTATGTCGCAAATAGCTGCCCAGGCATTGGCGAAGGTTTCCCAGGGCAGACAGCAGCTCGCTCTCACCAGTTTCTTTGAAATCGTCTGGTAGCAGCAGGCAGAGATTTTCCCTTTGTGAGTCACTTTGGCCTGTTCTCATGTCACTGTGTTTCTTCAGGTTATTCTTCTCCTTTTTTCTACTTTTCTAAGAGTTTCAGTGGCAACCAGGGGGAACGTTTAATAAAGGCAGGCATTTTTGTCAGCCTTTTCACATGGATGATGCACAAAGAGCTGAACCAGATGCCCCCTCCGTGCTGCGCAAAACCCCTCTGCCTGCAGGGATGCTAGGGATGAGCCCTGCATTCCTGAGTGACACCGAGATAAGCAGGAGCACCGGGAGAGCAGGAGAAGGCGAGGATGGTACCAGGCTGTAAAGTTTAAGAGATGAATGTTTCTCACTGGCCGTGGTCCAAGTGATGGTTAAGAATAAAACTATCTTGAAAAAATCTGGAGAATGGCTTTTAAGGCCAACAAAAGAAAAGAAGAATTTTGCAGGTCAGTTCACAGAGCAAACGCAAGCAAGACATTTTCCTGCAGAGAACCGGGAGAGAATGCAAGAGGAGGGTTATTTAGCCTGAGGTTTCAGGAAACTGTGGGGTGTGTGTTGTCCACCGCAGTAACGCATGCTGAAGGCAGTGGTGAAATCCCCTACGGAATTTGTTGTGAGTAAGAACAGACAGCAGCCATCTGACATCGGTAGTGTTTCACCCTGACCTGACTTTGGTTTAATTAAGCGCGATGCACAGAATAGGGTTGCAGCTGAGCCGAGGTATTAGTTTCCTAAAGGTTTTTGTTTTTATCTAAACAACATTCCTGTCCAGGATTTTGTCTCTGCATTGCGAAATTTCAGGGCAGATGCCTTTGTCCTGCTTTCGCTCTCTGTGTAAAACATCTCACACATCTGGCACCGTGCAATTAATAACTCAGTTACTACAGACCCCTGAGCCTATGGTCTTTAACCCGATGTATAAATCAGATGGTACGAAGAAGCGAAAGCCAAGTCTCGTCAAGTTATCGCATGAGTAAGGGAGGGTGTGGTACCCTGCGCGCGTTGGGGGGAATGTCTGGAGCCTGGCTGGGACACGCTCAGTGGCTGACGTGGGGA